CAGGCTTACCAGGTTTACATGTAGTCTTACAGAATTGGTATTTAAGGAGTTGGACTTCTTTTTGCCCTCCAGGAACTGGTGTTCTCAGCATCTCCAGATGCTACTATCCGGATTTGGTCAGTGTCTGGCACTTCCTGTGTGCAGGTTGTACGAGCCCATGAAAGTGCTGTCACAGGGCTGAGTCTTCATGCAACTGGCGATTATCTTTTGAGCTCTTCTGATGACCAGGTGAGAGTGAATCCAGAGTATCTTTTAGGCTAGATTTAAAAGAAAAACAAGAATTCAATATAATAAAGTCATGATCTTCTGAAGCCAACTATTTATATGCAACCTCAATATTTACTTTTTATAGTATTGGGCTTTCTCTGACATCCAGACTGGCCGTGTTCTCACCAAAGTCACAGACGAAACTTCTGCCTGTGGTATGGATTTTGCATTTAGAATCTAAATTGAGTATGCTGTGAGACATGCTTGAATGAGTGTGGTCTCAATGTATTGGACATGGGGGAGGGGAGAAGCTGGTTGGAGCTTCCTCACTTATGCGGTGATCCAAAATTCTTTCCTGCAGCTCTCACCTGTGCTCAGTTCCATCCTGATGGGCTTATTTTTGGAACAGGAACAATGGACTCCCAGATTAAAATCTGGGACTTAAAGGTGAGAATTAGCTTCTAATATGACAGTGTTGGAATGTTTTACTTTGCAAGCCTGATTATTAAGGATTTGCTGACATTGTATTCTTACCTTCTTAGAGGTTTTGCACGAGAAATGGAATATTTAGTACATCAGTATCTTAACTAGAGCTAGATCGTTACTGATTTAGTTAGTTGGTTAATGCTTTTGTGAATAAGTAGATATAGTTGTTGTTATATACCAGTATTTGGAAGGTTTTTATGCTAATCTTGAAGAGCATGGAACTCTCCTTGGCTTCTTCTTTGTTGGAGGAGAAGACTTAAGGTGTCAAATAATTGAAAGATATGTGCAACAATTATATTTATATTTTTATTGGTTTTTTTAAAGGTATCTAAATGGTTATGTAAAGTATTCTAGGAAAACATTAGTAACTATAATGAAATCTAAAGGCTCATTTCATTCTCTTTCAAACAGTTTTTTAGTCTCGTGAAATCTGATCTGTCTGAAATATCTATCCTCCTAGGTTTTGCTGTCAATGTTAACTTGAGCTCAAAACATTATACAGGAATATTATAGAATGGAGAATGAACATTCACGTCTCTGTTCATGGTGAAGGCAGAGAAGAGACATGAGTTGCATTTCTTTGGAGGATACAACATCACTCTAATATCCACTAATTACTTGCTTTCCTCAGGAACGGACTAATGTCGCAAACTTCCCTGGACACTCTGGTCCCATTACTAGCATCGCCTTCTCTGAGAATGGCTACTACTTGGCCACTGCTGCTGATGATTCCTCAGTCAAACTCTGGGATCTCCGCAAGCTGAAGAATTTCAAGACGCTGCAGCTGGATAATAACTTTGAGGTTTGCCTAGTTGTATTTTGTTTGTCAGTTCAGTATTTTAGAATCCTCTTTATTTTAATATACCACTTCCAACAGATTCCAGCTAGCTCCTTTTAAAGCTGTGGAATCTCTTCCTTGGAATGGGACAAAACCTGTTGCCTCTATGTGAAAGCTTGGTTTCTTCTGAAATGTGTTCATCCTGAAACTACAAATTCTAGGTGGCTTACATTGTAATACAATGCAAAAACAATCAAAACAGTAACAAAAAATCATTAGTTCCCAAATTATCACTGGCTAGTTTAGTCATGACATAGACTAACATTTATTCCAGGAAGGATCTGCAGAAGAGCAGTATTTCCTGAACATCAATAGGGAAGGCGCACCATTCCTGACATTGGGAAGGCAAACTATTTCAGAATGTAGGATTTATAACAGAGACAGTTATTTCAAGGATCCCTTATCCTCTAAAGTGGCAATTTATGGCACGTTCTCTTTACTTGTTTGAATTGGCTGAGTAGATTTAATCAACGTAGATTGTCTCGGAAATGTCCTGGAATCTAGATCGTATGAATATAATCATGCTTTGCTTCTAGAAACCTATTTTCTGTGCCTTTCCCTTTTTTAGGTGAAGTCCCTCATCTTTGATCAGAGTGGTACCTATCTGGCCCTGGGTGGTACTGATGTCCAAGTATTCATCTGTAAACAATGGACAGAAGTTCTTCATTTCACAGGTATGTGATTGTTGGCCTTTGTATCACTCTCCGCAGGTGCCGTACAATATTTGTCCTTTGAATTGATGGCTAGCATCAGTACTTTGGTTCTTTCTGCTGCCTTCTGTTTCTTTGAATGATAATCATAGAGTGAAAAATACCTTGTCTGACTGTCCTTTCTTTTTTCTGCAGAGCACAGTGGGCTGACAACAGGAGTAGCCTTCGGGCACCATGCTAAGTTCCTCGCTTCCACAGGCATGGACAGAAGCCTGAAATTCTACAGCCTGTAACTTGTTTCTAGGATGCAAAGCCGCTGGATCCTATTCCTTGCTGTAATGAAAAACTATGGGGTAAACATGGGGTGTTGGACTGATGGAACATCGTGTACATTATAGCTGTTGATGTCAGTTTTCTGTAGCATGGAAAGTTGCTCTCAGTTTTAAATATATTTGTTTTCCTCTCTGTGTTTGTTTCTTAGATAAATTTGTAACTGTAAGAATACTTAGTCAGAACCGATCCACTGCTGACTCTCTAGTAGGGATAGTGGCAGAGATGAGGATGAAGAAAGGGAGGGGGAGATGAGCAGATTTTTGTATGCTGCTCTCTAGTTTCATTAAAAAAACTATTCAACTATAACAGTATGTTTTTTGGGTGGTATCTTACATTTCAAACATTTGAATTTTGAACTATATTTTTCAGCCTGCGATTTGGCTGTATGTCTTACGAATGTTTATGCATCAGAAGGTATCGCAGTTCAGCAATTTTGACGATGAGTTCCTTAAAGATAGTATTCAATTTATAGGCACATTCTGAAGGCAGTATATTCATTAAAATGGAATGTTTAGAATACAACCTCAAATAGGGAGCATGCATACTTCTTTGAGATGTGAAATCTGGTACTTGTTTGATTAGAATAGACAGTAGTATGCTATGTAGGCCAGGATCTGATTTGCACAAAGCACCTTTCTGTGTCTAGATACCAGTGTGGTTTGATTAGCCTTTTTCTCTGGACCTCTTATTTCCAAATAACCTTCATTTCATTTTCATTTGGTTTCATTTCATTTTTCCTAAATATATAAATGTGTACATTTAATTCTGTATAAACATTGTTTTAAGCATCACTTGGTTATATTGGGTTAAAACAAGGGCCATAAAGGAGTTAATCATTTTTTAATCTAACATTTGAGATGAATCCATTCTGTGTGATTAATTTATGGATCTTTGTGTTAGGCAAGAAGATTGAAATAACTCAGCAAACTGGTCAAATTAATCTTGGGAAGTGTGTTATATTACCACAAGACCAGCACTCTGTTTTCTTCAAGCAAAAATTCAAAAATGTCCTGGGAACTTGCATATAGGAACTGTCACAGAACATTAAAACATCTAGTACATTTTAGATATCAATATCAGAGATAGCCATATTTGTCTGTAAGTTTGTCATTACATTTATTCAGAAAAACTAGCTAGAAATTTTTTTACAACTTCTTCATTGAAAATATGGAACTGCAAGGGTTTCACTTTTACCTATATCATATTTTCAGTTCTGAACTGGAAGACCCCCTAAAAAAGTTTTCACAACTCTCAGAAGTTGTTAGTTAGCTTGCCTCTTATATTCCTGGTGCAAGTAAGCAAAAGAGGTTAAGCATGTCTCGGTGTAACAGTATCAGGGGGCACAGTCCTATTCTCACTTTAGTTCCCCTTTCAAATTTTGTGGGATTGTCTTCCAAGTAAGGAAAGGAAGGATTGCAATATTAAATCTCTGCCTAAACTGTATCGCTACTGGTTTTCCTTTAGATATGGCTGGTCACTTAATGGCTGTTCAAAGTTACAACAGACCTCTGCTCCCTCTCCAAGCTACTTATAAACCCATTTCAAAGTTATGGCTGCTGCAATGCCCCCGTGGTCATTCACCCTGATGACCGACTGCAGGGACAAAAGTAATGTCTTTTTCACTATGCTCGCAAATCTTTCTGCGTGCACCAAAATGGCAAATGTGAGGATGCCACAAACCCAGGGACAAACACCTTAGTTTTCCTGCCTGTGCAAACTACATTAAGGTAGCAAAATGGAGTGGTTTCCCTTTGTCCATGTAGTAGTTATCACTTCGTGTACAAAAGCTAAATGTTGAATTTAATGGAAGTGTATGGTAAGCTTCTGTGTTCCGAGCTATGTTTAGGGAATCCAGCCCAACAGAAGAAGCAGTAACTGCATTATAAAGTAGACAGCCTTACTAGATCTCTTTTAATCCTCGTCTTATTCCAATTGGTGAAAGATTCACAACACAACAATAGCAACAGCACTTAAGACTTATATACAGCTTCACTGCTTTTACAGCCCTCTCTAAGTGGTTTACAGAGTCAGCAGATTGCCCCCAATAATCTGGGTCCTCATTTTACCCACCTTGGAAGGATGGAAGGCTGAGTCAACCTGGAGCCTGGTGAGATTTGAACTGCTAGATTGCAGGCAGTTGGCAGGCAGCAGAAGTAGCCTGCAGTACTGCACTCTAACCAAAGAGGCAGGTGATGAAAATACAACTCCCTACACCTACAAAGTCCAATTTGGACTTGACATTTGGAAAATGGCTTATATTACAACTTGAAAGTTGTAGGAATTTGTAACTTGCTTTCCATCCATTAGATACTAATTATAATACAGTACTTTAAAACTAAATAAGCTGTTCAAAATCATGTCGAATATGGAAGAAATTTTCCCATGAAAACTACAGGGACTTCTCCAGCAGTTTCTAGGAATCAAGTCATCTAAATTCAACACGAAAAGTAATTTGGTTGCTGCTGTTTTCCAAGGCTGACTAGATACATTACATAGGTGCACTTCGGTTTTTGTATTCTCCATTCTTTCCTATTCCCGGAAGTTGGCAACTCGCTGAATAAATCTACTTTTCAACTATATTTCGAGACCCGCCTTATGCTCAGCAAGTGCATGACGGGAATGGTAGTTTTTTTTTCCAGGGTCCTCCGGATCCGGAAGTAGATTGTGTTCGCCGGGCGGTTAGGTGACGCTACGAGGGTTGTGCCGCTAGCGGGGCGTGAGCAAGTGGAGAGATTCCGTTTCCGGCCTCTTGTTGGAGGTTTGCGCGCGTTTCGTGGCCTGTGGCGTGGTGGCGTTTAAAAAAAAAAAAAAAAGGCTGAAGCGGACTACCGATAGCCGAACCTTCCTTCTTCTCCTCGGCCTTCGTGGCCCCGAAGCCGCCTCAAGGATTAAACCGAGGGATTATACCATTACAGTAGCCCTAGGGGGCTTATCCTGCGCGCCATGTCCCTCATATGCTCCAGTGAGTGACCCGCTTTCTCCTCGGCTCTCGTTCTTCCCGCACAGCTGCGGCCTCGCATGGAGGGAGAAGGCTCGAGAAGAGGGGCTCCCCTTTTAACAGCCGCAGCTGTTTGGCGGTTAACTGTGCCAGTTTCCAATATTGAGAGGTCTGAGGGGTTGTAATGTTTCCAGTCAACTGCAGGCAGCTCGGTAGGGGCTGAGAGGTGGTCAGAGGAGAAAAAAAGCCCTTCTCTCTCTCTTTTCCCTCTCCAGAAGGCAGAACATGGATTCAACAGTCCGTTAAAACGTTAGAGGGGGGGGACCCTTCTTCACAATTTGGTACCTGGTCACTGAACAGTTACTAGAGGAAGATAGTTTATACGGCTCGATTGTACATCTTGGGGAGCTTTTTTTAGTTGATCAGATTTTTTTTATAAATAACGGGATGTGCTAGAAGCAGAAACTGAGTTTGGTTATAATGAACTGTGCAACTGCCTAATCCATATAGAAGTGGAAGAAGCTGTCAAGGCCAGCCATCTGCTCAGTGCAGGAATTTTATATTCATCACATTTTTGAACCACTCATCTCCCACACAGAGAATGCAAATTAATCATCAATTCAAAATTACAATCCCGCCGAGCTCTAGTTAGTATACATCCAGTAAAGAGGAGCCAGTGCCTCTCTTAAGTAATTAGTTCAGGTGTTCATCTGCTCAGCTAGGATCTGCCTTTCTGCCGCTTCTTTGTCCTGCATTTTGGAATGATAGGCATCAGTTCTTGACCTGTATTAAACCATTTCAAATACTTGAAAAATATCTTATTCCATTCATTCATTTATCCCCCCCCCCCCCCAATCTAAACATATCCAGTTCCTTCAGTGTCTCCTAAGCATTTCTGGTTCTCTGATTTCCTTGTTGTCCTTCTCTCTATCCATGTCATTTACTTTGAATTTTTTGTTTTTGGGGTCTACAAACAGACAATATTTTAAAGCTACCTGCATCAGAATGTAATGACCTAATTTGAAATTACCATCAAAACAGTCTTGCATTCAGTTTTTGGCAACTACATGATTTTTCCTTGCTCATACCTGTATTTAGCTTATGGTTAACAGATCTTTTTCACAAATACTGCTGTCAACTAGATATCCCACATTCTATAACTGTTTTTCCCCAATAAAGACATTTACATTTGTCGCTATCACATTTCATCTATTTTCTTTTTATTTTTTTCTCTATCTTGTTAAATAGAACATTTCTAAATTTTCCTTCCAGTTATGTTCTTTGTTGGATTACACTTATAATTGTATAAAATGCAAATTACAATATGGGCCTTGAGAAATGCCTGTGAATCTGATTTGCATAAATAACATTTCTGACTACTGGTTGTTTAAAGATATTATTAAATCAACATTTTGTTTATCTTCTTTTGGGACTTCATATTCTAACTGAATATTACTTGTTTGCAACCATTTTGTGAAGGTCCGTATTGTGGGGGGTCCTGCTGTTATTCCTATTTATCTTTAAAGACAGTTTAACTTGATTTACAGAAGTTTGTTTTAGTGATTTTTTTTCTACACCTTTTTTCTTGCAGTTTCTAATGAGGTACCAGAACATCCTTGTCTGTCTCCAGTCTCAAACCATGTTTATGAACGAAGACTAATTGAAAAATATATTGCAGAGAATGGGACGGATCCAGTGAATAACCAGCCACTGTCTGAGGAACAGCTGCTAGATATCAAAGGTAAGGATGATCAGGAGAATTAGTTTATTGAATACAGAATACCTAACCTGACTGGAAGTCAATCTTGTAGGGAAGTCTTGAAAATATTTGTTAATTTATAGTGAGATATAAAATTATTCCAAAATATCAAGGCCGAGTATAAGGAAAGGATTGTTGAACATATCCATTTAGAACAATTTCAAAAAAGTGCTACATGTATAAATCATATTTATTAAATTATATGCTGCCCATCCCCTAACTAAAGTCTTGACTATATCCAGCATTTCAATCAGAAATCCCACCTATGTTTCTGTTTGCATTTTCTCAGTTTTTACTTTGTACTTTGTCCATTGTTTCCATGTTGCTTTTTCTGTCTGATTTGTTTGAACATTTGTCTCCAACTTCAATTATATCAAAGTGTGTGGTCAGATTTTTTATAAAACATGTCCCTTCTACAACTTTTTCCAGCTTCTTGGGTTTCAAAATCGCAAGGCATGATTTTGTTTTTCTAGTGCTATCCATAGTCTTCAATTCTACCTTCAGCTGGATCACACTGAAAACCCACCCGCAAAAATAGGCAAAATTAAACAATACAGTAAAATTAAAACTGACAAAACTGTCCTAGCCATGGTTTAAAGCAGGGCTGTCAAACTTGCGGCCTGTTGGCCAGATGAGTCACGCAATGGCCATGCCCACACCCAGTTTAACGAAGGAAAAAAGTTGTAATACATCACGTGACACCACGGTGATGACATGAGTTTGACACTCCTGGTTTAAAAACTTGTGAGGGTAACTATTGGGGGTTGGCTAGAATTAATGCTTGTATATGTTTCATTCACAGTTGCCCACCCAATTCGGCCTAAGCCTCCTTCTGCTACCAGTATTCCAGCTATCCTGAAGGCACTACAAGATGAATGGGTATATACATATGTATATATACATATTAACACAGTAATCCAGAATTCTTATTTTATTGTAAGTTCTGCCACTCATGTAACATCAACAATCAGATTTTGTGCTCGTAGAACAAGGGAGTCGTAAAAATCAGTACGCTGATTTCAGATGTCATGAAAGCTATCCATTTTCATTTTATTTTTCCTGTTGACAAGAGTGGGAAAAGCAAGGCAGAAATTAATGGACTGCATATGATGTCATGCTATGTGTTCAGAGTTATTCACTAAGCCAGCATGTCCAGATATCGTCACCTACAATATTAATGTACTGAATTACTTCCTTCAGGATGCTGTCATGCTACACAGTTTCACTTTGCGCCAGCAGCTTCAGACTACACGCCAGGAACTTTCTCATGCACTCTACCAACATGATGCTGCCTGCCGTGTCATTGCTCGTCTCACCAAAGAGGTGACTGCTGCAAGAGAAGGTACAGCACAGAATTTATATTTTTATTTTTTTAATGGTGTGCAAGAAGAGACCCCATTATGCCAAGTGTGTTAAACATGCCAAACCATCTCCTTCTTCACAGCTTTGGCAACTTTGAAACCCCAGGCTGGCCTCATTATTCCCCAAGCTATACCCTCTTCACAACCAAATCCTATGGTATGTTTCACATAATTACATTATTTTCTTCACACTGTATCTTTCTCTCAACTAAAATGATTTGTTTGTTCCTCTTCCAGGGTGCTGGTGAACCAATGGATCTAGGAGAGTTGGCAGGAATGACCCCAGAAATTATCCAGAAAGTAAGAAATGTTTTGAGTTCAGAACTACAGATAAACAGTTATAATAGATTGGCCTGAGCTGTTAAATATAGAAATCACTGTGGCATTTCTGTAGTAGGGATGTGCAAAAACATGTGCTTTGAACCACTTTGAGTATGTAATATAATTTCAGGCACTATCATGGCATAGTTTTTTCTAGTTTTTCTAATGTTTTTCTGCCTTGCAGCTTCAAGACAAAGCCACAGTGCTGACCACAGAGCGCAAAAAGGCAAGTGCCCCTTTTTATTAAATGGGTGTGGAATTGGGTGATTCTGGGATGTGCATAGAAATTCTCTTAGCAGCAGAACCAAGAGATCTGATTGCTTGTCTTAGATAGTTTGTGTTCTTAGTGGATGAATTTTGTTTTCTTTTTTGCAGAGGGGGAAGACTGTGCCAGAGGAACTGGTGAAACCAGAAGAACTTAATAGATACCGGCAGGTGGCTTCACATGTGGTAAATATATGATCAATTGAGAAAGTTATCTTAAGAGTTCTGAAGATTCTTAAACTTCTTTAACAATGCTGGTGAATTTCCTCATTGCTGCCTGATGGGAGCACATATAAATTAATGATAGTTCTCTGTATTTTACATTTCTTGAGCTCTGGAATGTCTGAGAGATTATATACTCTTGGGTCTTTCGAAAATACAGAATTTCTTGTATGTGCATGCTTCCTTTGTATCCCCAGTTTACCAGTACATTTTTATCTTTACCACCAAATATCCAACAACAAACAAAATATGGACAACGCACACACCAACATACCCCCACACCTCACATATATACAGAGACACCCACCTTTTGTAAAAGTTTCCTCATGTTGCTTGGTGGTCAGTGAATAAAATGAGAAGGCTTATAATGCTAATTGCAATACTTTGTGTTTTTAAACAGGGATTGCACAGTGCCAGTATTCCTGGCATCCTTGCTCTTGATCTGTGTCCTTCTGACAGCAACAAGATCCTCACAGGTACGTTTAGATATCTGTTTTCTTTTCCCCCCCAAATTCTATTTTTTGCTCTAAGTGTATTTTGGAAAGGACAGTAGATTACATGCCACATTTTACATTGTTGAAATCAAGTTTCCATGAAGCTGCAGTCGTAATGTTACTGTAATATTACGCCATTAATACATACTTTAAGTCAACCACTGAAGAATGCTTTCTGTTAATAAATTCTGTTGTTGAGCTGCTCTGGTTTCTGGTTTTTGCCTTGTTTGCAGGTGGGGCTGATAAAAATGTTGTTGTCTTTGACAAGAGCTCAGAACAGATCCTGGCCACCCTGAAAGGTCACACAAAGAAGGTCACCAGCGTAGTGTTCCATCCATCTCAGGTAAAAGTTCTT